ACAGCTGTCAGATATCTGACAGTTCAGTCAAAAACAAGTTCAGATGAAAAGTTTGAGAGGAAACAGAACTCACTCCTTCCGCATCGCTCTAACAACTTCAGTCAGCCAGTTCACATCGACCGCAGACAGGTGGGTCACAGACGACACCAGGACCACCAGACCCATCCAGACCAGGAGACCCATCTGCAGGGAGTTAGACCCACCATCGTTAGTCAAAGAAAAACTCATTTCAAACTGAAGAGACTGGTTCTCACCTTCAACAGGTGCACCGAGGCTTCAGGTGTTCAGAGCAGAGACGTGACGGTTTGAACAGAAGTCAGCAGGTTTTATAGAGTTAAGAACTGAAGGGAGGAGGAGGAGGAGGAGGAGGAGGAAATGACTTGCTCTTCTGAGGACACAGAAGAACAAGCTGTGACCATGTGGTTCCTTTAGAAGTTACAGGATTACATTTTCAATAAAAAGCATTTGTCACTGATTATTACACAAGTTCCATGAGTTTAGACCAAGATAAAATCTGTACGTGTCGTAGATCAGAGAATATGTTCTGGTGTTAACTGGAGAGCAAACTGAAACAGATGAAATGGTTTTTACTCCTCATCGAGTTCAAAGAGACCAAGTTACTGATGGTCTCTGACCACTAGAGTCAGTCTACCAGTGTCACTGTCCACAACAGTCCCAGTCCACCAGAGTCCCAGTGCACCAGAGCCCCTGTGCACCAGAGTCCCTATCCACCAGAGTCCCAGTGCACCAGAGTCCCTGTGCACCAGAGCCCCTGTGCACCAGAGTCCCAGTGCACCAGAGTCCCAGTGCACCAGAGTCCCTGTGCACCAGAGCCCCTGTGCACCAGAGTCCCAGTGCACCAGAGTCCCTGTCCACCAGAGTCCCTGTGCACCAGAGTCCCTGTGCACCAGAGTCCCTGTCCACCAGAGTCCCTGTGCACCAGAGTCCCTGTGCACCAGTGTCCCTGTGCACCAGAGTCCCTGTGCACCAGAGTCCCTGTGCACCAGAGTCCGTGTCTACCAGAGTCCCTGTGCACCAGTGTCCCTGTGCACCAGAGTCCCTGTCCCTGTCCACCAGAGTCCCTGTGCACCAGAGACCCTGTGCACCAGAGTCCCTGTCCACCAGAGTCCCAGTGCACCAGAGCCCCTGTGCACCAGAGTCCCTATCCACCAGAGTCCCAGTGCACCAGAGTCCCTGTGCACCAGTGTCCCTGTGCACCAGAGTCCCTGTGCACCAGAGTCCCTGTGCACCAGAGTCCGTGTCTACCAGAGTCCCTGTGCACCAGAGTCCGTGTCTACCAGAGTCCCTGTGCACCAGTGTCCCTGTCTACCAGAGTCCCTGTGCACCAGTGTCCCTGTTCACCAGTGTCCCTGTGCACCAGAGTCCCTGT